CTATAAAGATCCCTTAATATATGGTTGGCAATACATATATTCGATAATAACCTTCTTCATTTTTAAGTAGTGGACCCTAGATTCGAGTTTCTCTCGAAAAGCCCAACGAACTCTTTTACCATCTGCGGCTTAGTCATGTCAGGGTATTGGCCAAGGGACCGACCGCTTAGCTTAGTCATAGCCAACTTGTGAATCACTGGGCAAATGACTCGGGCCAAGGTTGCGGCGGTATCAGGGCACAGCTCATATTAATCAGAGGCTAGTACAATGTGCTCCACTTTATCGGCAAGAGGCCACAGCAACTGCGGCGAACTGCGACACTGAAAAATGAGCGAATGTCACAAGGATCATAGGGAAGATCCGAGTAGAGTCTAGAGCCCCGGAGTTTCATATCCATTTCGGTCGCAGTAGAAACCGAACCGAAACCGGTTCGGAAAAAAAGAACACTAAACAGCACAAAAAACAGCTATCCGACTAGAAAATACCCAGTAAACAGATGGACTATACTTTACTTACTCTTTTAAGTTGGTATTCATTGAAATTTAAGATTTTTAACCTATTTATTTTTTAAATGGGGAATACATTTGTCGTAATTCTGACTGTAAGATTTATCTTATCATCATAAAATATAGCAGGTTGACAGATAATGGCTATATACTAGAATTGTACCAAATTATAGAGCCATATCTTCAAGATTGCGGGTGTCATTAGATGTTCTTGGGGCTGCTATCCTAATCTTATCTGGAGTTTTGGTAGAGCGACCGATAGTGGCCTTAGACAAGAATATAGCCAAATAAGATAGCTATCCTTTCAAAATTGTGGGTGATATGGGGTCCCGGGTGTGGAGTATAGAGTATACCCATCGAACATTAAGGAATACTTTTCTGGCTAATCCCTAGGTCCAGCTCAGCCGTTTGGGTGCGGCAATTAAGTCACCACCACCAACGAGGAGGAAGGAGCTCCAGCCGGAGCCGGGAGTGGATTGGGGCAGGGGCGCGCGTTTCCAGTGAAGATCATTATTGTCTCGTCGCGGATGCTGGCAGCGCGACGGCGGCCCCAAAAATAAAACATAAAAAACACACAAAAAAACAGCAACAGCAGCAACAACGGGGCAAACAAGTTAATGAACCTGCCCCGAGACGCGTCTGGTCGCAATCCTTGAGAGCCTGTCCAACTAGTTTCGGCTTTGGTCTGGGCCTGGGTCTGGCTCTGAGTCCGTGGCGCGCTGCTTCGCGGCAAACCAAAATCTGTGGCATGAATTCTCTGGAAATTATCAAAATTTCATTTCATTGCGAGGCGAGGCGATGCGATGCGATGCGATGCGAGGCGCAGCCAACCAAAATTAAGTTCAACAGCATTCCATGGGTCTGGGCCTGTCTGGGGCCGGACTGCGACTGCCCGCCGCTGCTGCTTCCTTTGGGCCAGGCTTAGAAGAGCTGAGGGCCCTGTGGATGTTGTTTTTGCGCAGCTCCTGCTGGTCTTTCCCCCGAGTATCCTTGAGGCAGGGAGTCATTGCCCTCCTCCAGCGGGGTCGCATTACACAATTGCAGCTTACGGCCTCTGTCCTGCGCTCAAGTTACACAGAACTCCAGTGGCCTACTTCCACTTGAATGACCCGTCCCCGTCCCATCCCGTCCCATCCCGTCCCATCCCGTCCCATCCCATCCCATCCCGCTCTGGTAACGGTGGAACAATGGCCTTTGTGCCCCTTGGGCAAGCAACCCCATCCTCATCGCCCCGCCTGAGATCCGATACGATCCCGAGTTCTGAGTCCGAAGTCCTGAATGCTGAATCCTGCTGAATCCTGAGTCAGCCAAAGACAAAGCAACCAACTCATTTTGTCGCATTCAAACAGAAATTAATATAAAACAAAAAGCCCAATCCAATTCCAATCCCATCCCATCCCATTCCATCCCATCCAATTCAAAGAGAGAGAGAGAGAGAGTGTGAGTAGAGGGGGAGGGGTAAAGAGCGATGGAATATACATAATTTTATTTTTATAACTGACCTCGAACTTTTGTGCAGTGTGATTGAACTACTGGGCCCCTGCCTGATGCGATATCTGTGGGCTCTGTTCTGCCCCGCCCCGCCCCGCCCTGCCCTGCCCTGCCCGCCGTTTCACCATTTGCATGCAGACTGCATACGGAGCCAGAGCCATAGCCATAGCCAGAGCCAGAGCCAGAGCCAAGAGCCTGGGTCTGTGGATGCAATCGAATCGAATCGCGCGGCGTCGTTGACAAACAATATGGAAATTTTACAGAGTGCGCAGAAATAAAAGGGGGAAGCGAAAGCGAATCTTAAATGCTAAAGCAGTGGCCGCTGAGAACGAGGGGGGCGGAGAGAGAGAGAGAGAAGGGGAAGCAATAGTTTTAGCGCGAAACGTTAAATGCATAATAAATGTGCGTTCTGGCGGTTGGCGGTTGGGAAATAAAATGCGTGCAGCGGCTGCAGTTGGCAGTCGGCAGCGCTGCCTTGCACTTTCAATGACCAGGCAGAGCGATAAGAGAACTAAACAGAGTGAGAGAGAGAGAGAGAGAGCTTAAGGGCAGGAACAGAAGCAAAACTGTGGGAAAAGCAATGTCAAGGTGTAATTTTGTATGCCCAAACTAGCGCGACAGTACCGTACCCCCCCCATAAATACACCCTGAGCATATCTATTTGTTATTTAGCGCTAGTTTTAGTCCAGCAACAAACCATATGTATTTGTTTGCCATATTTGTTACGATAGTAAAGAGAGAGCGAGGGCAAAGAAAGATAGGAAAAGAGAGAGCGCCGCACAAAGAGAGCGTGAGTGGGAGAGAGAGAGAGAGAGATCGAACCGCGTGCAGTGTACAGTTCTTTATCAAAAATTGCTTTGTTGCTGTTTGCTGCTGTGCAAATATTTGATATTCTTTTTTATTTTGCAAAAAGACGCAAAACAAAAGAATCACCAAATAAAAGACATGAGAAACGAAGAAGACAATAAATAGAAAGCAGAGGCGTTGGAGCCCCAGCAAGAATTGACTCGAGCCCCTTGCTTTGAAGAGCAACGTGCGCCACTGAACGACGAGCTCCACACACAAAAAATGTTTAGCTGACGTCATTTGTCCTTGAATTCGTATATTTGCCGCAAACTCAAAGCGAAAAAAATCCGCAAAATTCAATGCACCCGCCGCTGAAGCAGCGACTGCGGCAGCGCAGCCAGCCCCAAAAAACGTCAAAGCAGCGAACAACAACACAACAGTAGATAAGATGACAAAACCGAAAGCCACACACATAGAGAGAGAGAAACGTGAAATGGAAACAGAAGCAACACACATAATACGAAATTTGCATGGAAAGTGCAGTAATATATCAAAAATAAATACAGTCGAAAAGCCCCAAAAAAAGCTATAATATGACCGTGTACAATTATTGAATATAAATTAACTTATTTAATTTATACTTTTAAAAATAAATTCAAACTCTAACGGCTAGTACCGCCAAAAACGAAAAAACAGCTAACGCCAAAAAAAAAACGCGTCAATGAGAAAACCAGGGCAACAAAACCCAACATTTGTTCATAAATGAACATTAGTTGAGTAAACATTTTTTATATTATATAAATATCCATTGATACATCACATATTATATTGATATATATTTATTACGCATTATTTATTAATGTAAACTCGTGCAACTTACAGAGCAAGTTATTCGTTTCGATTATTTTTATAGTTCGTTCTTCTGGTTCATTCGTTTCCTTATTATTGGTTCCATTACACACAATGCTCAGCACCATACAAGCTGCCATAAAGTACGTTTTTTGAATTTTTTCTCTCCAATCGTGCTTTCCCTCATCATTAATTCCACTGGATTGCATTAATATCTTTGTCTCTCTTCACTTTCAAACAATTTTACTTTGGCGCGCAGCTGTAACTGTTATCCAGTCGACTTAAAAATGTGTAGTTACCGTGTAGTTACCATGTACCAAAATTTAAATTTGTATTGACCTTTTTTTATTAAACGTTGTTTTATAAACAATCCAATAAAAGTGGGTCCTGAAAATTCAATCTTGTAGAAAATTTAACCATCAATCGAATAAAATTATGTTTTCAGGGGGCAAAGAAATCGTTGAAATATTGGTGACTGCTTTTCTTGCCACCATGTCTAGCTGACACACCTTGCTAACTTTATACTTTTCATAGTATTTTCTAGTAATTTCCAGTATATTTTAAGAAGCGGTATGGACTCACCCTGTTGTGCAAGGCACCAATGTAGAGGCCATGTGGAATTGCCACTTAGAGCCATGTCCCAGGCCACATCGAATACTCATTCGTGATCAGCATAGAATTCCTGATTGTTTGCTATCAAAATCTCAGTTTTTTCAAAAAGGCCGGAAGTAAAGGCATGTCAAAAAGTGGATAACGGAGTTTTTTCACACTGGCGCTTCCAAATGTACACATTTCCCCTTCAGGTGTCGCCTTTATTAATTACATAAAAATGTAGTTCATATGTAACATCTGTGTAGTTAACGTGTAGTTACCATGTCCGGAAATTAACATAGTGGAATTTGCTGTTGACCGGTTTTGCTTAAACCTTATTTTATAAGCAATGCAATAAAGAGGAAGATTTAAATTTAGCCAGTATTGTAGGAAACCGATTTAATAATCGGATAAAATTATGAGTTGAGAGCTGAGGGTTTTTTGCCAGCTAGTAATATTAAACAGAATATCAAAAAAGAGGAATATTATGAAACTTGAATACAAATAATTCATCAGTATATGTGCGGTATATTTTAAAATTTGTGACGTATTTTGGTATATTTCTGCTGGTCGGTCACACTGCCCAGCACTATTATTTATAAAAATTTAGCGTGCGTAAAATTTAAGTGTGAGAACTGAGAATTGCAGCTGCAACAAGAGCACGTGCCGACAGCAGAAAGCAGCTGCCCAACCCCGAAACAGAGCCTAGCAACCACAACAACCAGGAGGCCCAATCGGAACTCTGTTTTTTTCATTTATTCATGCGAATTGGATTTGTTTAGCCAGCCAAAGTTGTCAATGTATTGGCAAAAGTAGAAGCAGCAGCGCAGCCCCAGTGCCAGGTGAGTTATAATAGAGCATTGTTCTGGGCTTTCAAGTTCTCTCTCTCTCCCCGTGTCTCTCCCCATGTTTTTTGCGTAAGTTCAGGTCTGTTGCAAACTGTGTCAACTAATTATGGAGCGCATGATTGCGGGCCGTTTATAATAATCTAAGGTCCGCTGCGGGCCGATTCAGCGCTGACAGCCGCCTGTCCACCGCTGCCTTATCAGCGTTTATCTGGTGGTTTGCCCTTTGCCCTGCGCGTTTTTCTTCTTTTTCTGTTTTTGTTTTTTGCAAGCCTGCACATTTGTGCGAATGAATGTCTAGAAATCGAAATCGACAACAGGTTCCGTTCCGACCGATCGTACCGCCTGGCCTGCCAGCACCCAGCACTAGGTAGTGCTTTGGAGCCCAAGAGTATTGTAGCTGCTGAAATCTACACGTTTGTTTGTGCAGAGCTTATACGGGTTGTATCATTACTGTGATATGCTAATCTCAATGCCCACGCGTATCTGACTGAAGTTGACGGCCAGTTTCGTAATTCGTAATTAACAATCTCCCTCTCCTCTCTCTATCTCACTCCCTGTGTGTGCCGTGGCCGCTCTTCCACGCCACACAGATACTCAGCGTCGACATAGACGTATTGCAAATCGATAAGCCAGCCGGCCCCCAAGAAACACCCACGCGGGCACACAGACGGACACAGAATGGGCCAAACACTGTCCGAGCCGGTAACTGCCAAGGAGTCGTCGTACTGCCAGAACTCTGTGTTCCGTGTCGGCTCAAGCTGCATGCAGGGATGGCGCATCAACATGGAGGACTCGCACACACACATTCTCTCGCTGCCGGATGATCCGGGCGCGGCCTTCTTTGCCGTATACGATGGCCACGGCGGTGCCACGGTTGCCCAATATGCGGGCAAGCATCTGCACAAGTTCGTGTTGAAGCGACCCGAGTACAATGACAACGACATCGAGCGGGCGCTACAGCAGGTGAGCGTCGCTGGGATTACTCACTGCCACTCAGAGGTGACAATACTAATGAAATGATGACGATGTTGCAATTCTAGGGCTTTCTGGACATTGACTACGAAATGCTGCACAATGAGTCATGGGGCGATCAGATGGCCGGCTCCACGGCTGTGGTCGTTCTTGTGAAGGACAGCAAATTGTATTGCGCCAATGCCGGGGATTCGCGGGCGATCGCCTGCGTGAACGGCCAGCTGGAGATACTCTCCATGGACCACAAGCCCAACAACGAGGGGGAGTCGAAGCGCATCATCGAGGGCGGCGGTTGGGTCGAGTTCAACCGTGTTAATGGCAATCTTGCACTTTCCCGGGCACTCGGCGACTTTGTCTTCAAGCGTGCGAACAAAAAGCCGGAAGATCAGATCGTCACAGGTGAGAAATGCATATTTAAATCGCTGTTCTCATTGTTCTCATAATCCATTATCACCTTGCGTTTTCGTTGTTCTTGCTGCGCTACAGCCTACCCGGACGTGGAGACACGGAAAATCATGGAAGATTGGGAATTTATCGTACTGGCCTGCGATGGCATTTGGGATGTGATGAGCAATGCGGAAGTGCTTGAGTTCTGCCGCACACGCATCGGCATGGGCATGTACCCGGAGGAGATATGCGAGGAACTTATGAACCATTGCCTGGCCCCCGACTGCCAAATGGGCGGACTCGGTGGGGACAACATGACCGTCGTCCTAGTCTGCCTGCTGCACGATAAACCCTACAGCGATTTAATAGCCCGCTGTCGAAATAGCAATAAAACGGCCTTCGAACAAGAAGCCGGCACGGCAACAAAGACCACACAGTCCAACGATAACATGGCCGAGACACAGACCTCGAGCCCCACAACCAGTCCCAATTCCAGCCTGATCACGCCCAGTGAGGCGACCAACAATTCCGAGGAGCAGAAGAAGCTGGAGAAAGAGGCACAAGATCCGCTGCTGGCAGCATCCGAGATGCAGTTAAACTATATCTACTAGTGCGCCTTATAATTAATTAGGGTATCCTCGAAATGCCGCTTAGGTCAACTCTTTATACTTACAAGTGTTCTTGGTTAAGTTTTTATAGACTCAGAGACACACACACACACCACAAACAAACAAACAAACCAACAAACACACGCCACAAACGCAAACAATCCTTACCAAAATGTTTAACTCCCACGAATAATTTTTGTTTTTTTAGTTTATCCCCGCGTCCCTCCTTATCGATGTGTGTAACATGTATATGATATGTACGACTATATATACATTTGAATTACTATGTTTTGTGATGCCCAAACAGAATGGAAAAAAAATTGTATTACTCGTTTAGTATTTATGTACCTAAAACTATACTTGTCAGAGTTTCGGGATTGATCTTTATAAGGAGAAAGTTTTTTTACCCAAAGGAGAAGGAATAGGAAGACAATGAGTTTTTGAAATTGAAAATAAAGCAAAATGTTTTGTAGTGCCCAAAAGTATTGAAAGTGTTATATATTTAATTTCAGATTATCGTCGGAAACTGTACCTTCATCGAAATCCTTTGTCAAGATCCTGCAGTACACTTGACTTTACCCCAAACGGCACAGATTTCGATTAAATGAATCGAGTATTTGATTGGCGGGTCTCTGGTTCGCTCAGCTCCAGATGCGCTCAGTTAGTCCACATCCGTGCACCCCAGTTCTGTGGAACGGGCTTCAACTGGGTTGAAGCAATAACTTGAAGTGTTTCGAAGATCTAATCCTGCTTCAGGCATCATTGATTACGATGAGGGCTTTCCGATACTCTGGCTAGCCTGCCGCGAAAGGTAAATGTAAATCCCTTCAAGATGGACTCGTTTGCGGCCAAAGATCCGTGTTCCCCCGTTAAGCAATAACTTGGACTGTTTTGTACAGCTTTTCTTGCTGGTTATCGCTCGCTTTATTGTTTGACATGTTTCTTGTGTTGTTTTTTCTTTCTGCTATCTACATTTAATCTACATTACGCCCGCTTGTTGTTCTCTCCTTGTTCTTTTCTTTTATTATTTGATTTTCTTTTCGTTCATATGATACATACAATAAAATAAAATAATCGTGTGTTGTGTGTATGGTATGTGTAGTGTTTTGTTGTGTTCTGTGTGTTTTGTGGTCATGAAATGTTTTCCCTCTCTGTATTTATGTTAGTTTAAATTTTATTTAAACTCTTTGCTATATTTTCATTACGAGTACAGGTTTGGTTTCTTCTTCAACATCACCATTATCATCGTGTGTGTGTGTGGCTTTTACGTACAAATTGTTCACTCTTAACCATATATCTATATATTGTATGTATATATAGGGGGAAATGAATTACGCCTTTTCGTGTTTTGGTTGTTTCTCAGTGTTTGTATTTTTTTTCGTTTTTTTTTTTTGTTGCTTTGTTTTATTATAATATTTTATTTTATTTTATTCATATGTATGCCATATTACACACTCAATTATGCATTAACTCTGTTGATTGGTTGTGTGGCTTTCGCTGCTGCATAAAGGGGGGGGATATTGTATGATTTTATAGTTAGTTTATAGTTTTAATCATATGCAATTTTATAAACCATTTTGTTTTCTTTTCGCTTTACAGTTATCAATTTCGGTACAATTACAGTTGATTACGCATATTCTTTTCGTAAGTATATATATATATCTTTATATATATGTATTACTCATATTACATATTTGCATTTTTGTTTTCTTTTGTTTAACAGACAGGTTGTTGTTGATTTTGTTGTTCTTGTTGTTGTAGCTTTTCTAGTGATAACAATGTGCGTAAGCATTCTTCTGTTTAACTTTCTTTCTCTGCAGCTTATTGGTAGTACATAAAAGCAAAGAACTAACCCATTGAAAAAAAAAGGACACACCGCCTGGTCTCTAGCCATTCAAAGAAAGTACAGCTATGCTCCGATTTTCGCAAATGTTTGCGATTACGATTTCGGCCAAAATTCGTACGAATTGAAATCTATATGCTCCGGTTTTCGAAACTTTTTGCTAACGATAGTGTTTCATTTCCAATTGATAAAAAAAAGATGTTTTTTCTTTTTGAAATTAAAATATTTTGCCCTCGTTGTGCAAATCGGGAGGGAATTCACCATTTGTTGTTGTTTTGGTTTATTTGGGTGAAGTAAAATTTGGGGTGTCATTAGAAAAAAAATAAATTGAATATATTAAGATAATATTTGGAAAAAAATGTCCAATTGTATAAATATAAACTTAAAACATCAGCAAATATGTTAATATTTTTTTTGCTCTCATAAAAATGTAAGAATCCTACGATTTGCGAAAGACGGAGCACGCACGTTTGCGATTTAAGTCAATTCGCCACGTTTTGAGATTTGCGATAACCGGAGCATGGCTGGTGGGGTGGGGCCCCCACGCTCTTCACAAGCGGCGTTGGGGAGACCCAGAAATTAGAAGAGGAAAAGGGAACAGAAACCTAGCTGCTGGCAGTGCCATAAAGAATGGTCAATGGTAAGGCGGTGAAAACAAGAGAAGAGGATAGAATAGAACCCTCTGGTATATAGTATGTACAGTTGATTGGCGAGGGTTATTCCATTTGAAATAATAGAATATTAATGATGCCTCCAAACTTTTTCGTGTGTGTTTTTGGGTCTGAGTATAGGGGATGGGATGCTAGCTATTGGCGTGGCATGTCTGCTGAATTTCTAATAGTATTATTTTGTAAATATAACAAGGTGTCATATGCGCTGCTTAATCATACAAAAATAAATAACTTAAGAACTCAGGTTTACAATGTAACAATTTAATTTAATTTATTGTATTGCCTTAAAATTATTCAACATCAACAATGTTTCTTTACTTTCTCTATACCCTACTACTCTCTTCTGTTCTCTCTCTTCGCTTCGCTTCGCTTCTCCTCTACTTCTCGCTACTGTTCTCTTTCTCTGCGTGTCTCTCTCTTTGTGTGTGTGGTGTGTCTAAGTGTGAACATGTCTGGACGTGTCTGCTGCTGGAGGAAAGCCCAATTGGGCAGCCGTTTTCCGTATATTTCATTTTGTTTTTTTGTCGCACACAATTGACGATCCGTCAGTTGCATAATATCACATCTCATTGCCGGAAGAACGGGGTTGCCTCGCATCCAGCTCCCCAACCAACAGCAGCCGCACAGCCGCACGCTCGCTCAACCAAACCCTCGCTCTAACATTTGCCCTAAAGCAGTCCGCAGTCCAAGTCAAGTCGGTGTCCGCCCTACTGAGGTCCCACTGTATGTTCTGTGTTTGCTATTGTGGCAGCCGACAGTGAGTGATGAGCACAACAAAATCATTTGAGAACGTTCGAAACTAATATGTGTGTGCTGAGTGGGGTGGGTGGGGTGGGGTGGGGTGTGGCGGCGGTTGAATGATAGTTAGGGAGAGTGTCGGGTCTTTCATCAAATGGAGAAGATACAAACTATAAACTATGAATTATTTAAAGTTAAATTTGTAGTGTTCCGAGTACACGACAAACCACTGAGCAAGGTATACTATGTGTGGGGGTGTCTGTGTCTCCCTGTCTATCGTAGCGACCCCTGAGCCAGTGGCAGGAAAACCCCCCGACTGGCCGAAGATCAGTGGGCGAATGAATGAATCATTCGATTGGTTCGATTCAATGAGTGTTTGTTGCTTTGTTTTCATTTCATTGTAAGGTTAAGTTAGCTCCTAGAGGCAGTTGAGTGATTGAGTGAGTGAGCATGATGACTGCGCGAGTGGAGTGTGCGATTGAGGGAGGGAGGACACGTTTGGTTCTTGGCTCAGTGGTCTGACTGTACTTGCGTGTCACGCCACAATATAATAGTTAGTATAGGCACTTAGCTTATTCGATTGTTTTCATAGAAACAAAGTATATGTTTACATATATGTGTGTATATATATATTGGTTTTCAGTTGTAGTTTTCTTTCTCGTATTTTTGTTAAATTTTCAATTACATTTCGGTAGAAAGTCTTCAGTTAAAGAGTTGATTCTTCTACTCCTTCTCTTCTCTTAATTTCTCTTTCGTTTTTTTTGATTTTGGATGAGTTTCGTTTTTCGGGAAAACATTGTTCGGTTCATTTCATTCACAGTGTGTTCATCAGCGTTAACTTAAAGAGAACAAAACGTATTGTATGCCGTGTGTTTCATGGAAAATAAATTGAAATCTATCGTTAGTTTTTGGGGTGTGTGTTTGTGAAAGGCGGGGCGCAATTTTGTTCTCAAATAAAAGTTAAAAAAAAAAAATATATATATATATATAGAAAAAATTTTTGAATATTCTTGCAGTTAAGTGTGAATATCCATACGCATTTCTAAACTTAATTCTTAGGCCTAGAGTAGTTATATATATATATATATTTATGTATATCTCTCTCTATTTATTTTCACACATTTAGATATCGCGTGTACGCTCTTAAGACTACTGATTATTCCTCCTCATCATCCTCCTCCTCATCTCCTGTTGCCAATGGATGATGTTATGCATTAAGGGATCAAATAACATGCTTCTCGAATAAATCAGGACGACTCTTCGTAAATCGTTAATCGTAAATCGTAAATCATTTGTGTTTGTGCGTAAAAAAGGAAACCAAAATCGATACTGAGCATCATTATTTAGAGGGGTGGTAGCATTATAAATTGAGAGACAGTTTAACATAAGAATATAATCCGTTTTTAAATGCCTATTTGTGTTGTCCTAAACCTCGCAGAATTTCGTGTGTGAGTGTGTTTTCGTTTTAGTGTTATGGCACCTTTTTGTTGTATATAGAGTGTGTGTTTGGTGAGTGTAGAATACATTCTTTGTATGCTTATATACAGAATTGTAAATATAACATTGGATAGTGTCTGTCTTATGAGCTGAGCTGAGCTGTAGCTGTGTCCACCTACGCTTTATAAGGATAGAGTTTATTTGCTTTAGCAATGCACTAACTTGTTAATCATTCTCGATCTTCGTTCTTCGTTCATCGTGTTCTTTTCTTTTGCTTCTTGAAATAGACGTGAAACCATCAAACTGAGAAAATTGCCATTCATTGTGTGGAAACAAATGCAATTTTAAAATATAAGTTATTCTCATTATACGATATACGTAAGTATCAAAATGAAGGATATACTCAGGTGTAAGGGTGGGTGGGGTTGTGGTTGTGGCCATGGGTAAGGGCAGTTGGTCTGCGTGTATGTTGTTATGCCGTGAACTAAGTACGAGAATCCACTTCAAAAAAAAATATTTGTGTACAAAAAAATATAATCCATTCGCTCAAACAAGACCAACTGATAAAATGTTACAATGGTTCAAAACAATATATCAATATATATATATATGTATGTATACTCGTATGTATCTAATTAATAGAAGTAACCCTAACTTGTGGGACTAGCGGAGACATAGCTATGTATATAGATAACATATACGCCATATACTCGTATCTGTGTACTTCTGTTTTGGCTATAAACATTAAGTTAGATGTTGTGAGTGTATCGTGTGTGTGTGCTGTCGTGTGGTGTGTGGTGTGGTGTGTGTCGTTTGTGAGTGTAAGCTAAATGAAATTGATGAATTACTAAACGTAGATAATAACGAAACCAACGTAACGTATGATTCATGATGCATGAGTTCCATCAGTAATTTATCAGTAAAATCGTTTACAATGTGTATCTTTCTTTTGCTCTGTTTTATCGTTCGATACAAGTTGGCTAACTAAAATCAAAACTTAGACTTATTCACTCGGTAATCATTAATGGTAATCGTAATCATAGCTTAGGCATATTCAAATCTTCCTCTACACTTATCCTCTCTATCCACTATCCACTATCCTCTCTCCATTCTCTATTCATCTACTCTCGGTTCGTTATTCTGCAAATATCATCTCTGCTCTAGTCCACGGTGTACCCCTCAATCTTAGGTAAAGACGTAGATCAACAGTAAACGATAACTGATTATACATATACATATATATATGCGTATATAAATATATGCAGGTAAATAGCTGGAGAAAGGGGTATGCACCATTCATTATTCCTTTATTCCTTTGCCTACTAATATGATAACTGGTCCAAGCTCCGCCTGCTACTCCACCACCTCGTCTCCTCCTCTTCCTCTTCTCTGTTGAGCAGCGGCAAAAGCTATGGTTACAAAATGAGGGATTAGGTGACAAAAATGCTACTGAAATGGATGAGCACTCACCTTTTGTATGCCTCCTTAGTTAACTGGTAAATATCTATAGCACTTATAGATGTAACAAAAATTGTTCTGGTATTTACAAATGGAATTTCATATATATACAGGCAGATGCATTATCAGAGGCATCCTGCAAAGGTCGCTCACAGTTGCCTCGCTTTTGGCAACGACTTTCCCTTCCCCTAAGAGTTGTTGTGGGCTCTGGACTTGCGGTTGCCGCCGGTCCCCGAGCCTACATTGGCATTGGTATTGTGCTCTGTGCCAGAGCCGTAATGTTGCTGATGTTGTTGTTGTTGTTGTTTCTCCTTGCTCTGGTGGCGACCACCACCGCCCATGGGAGAGGCATGGGAGCGGGCATCTGCAGTGGGAAAAACCACATTAAATAGTCGTACATTAGTGCCCTACTCCTACTCATACTCATACCTTTCTCCTTGGCACCGACTGCATTGCTGACTTGAGCTGAATTCAATGTCTGTATGCCGCTGGCCCCTTTGCCAGACGGCACAGCATTGACGACCGGGGAGGCTCCTCCTGCTACACGCTTCTCGGTGGCGATCACACTTTTCTCCACTGCGGCAGCGATTGTGGAGGGATCGCCGAAGACTAGATCCATTTTCTGGCTGCCAGTGGGCGAGAGGGTGCCTGTGGAGGCACTTCCATCCTTGCTGTCAGTGGAGGCCTTGTGATGCTGGGCCACCTGAGCGTAACTGAGCTTACTTGCCGTGGCGGCGGCAATGTTCTCGTTCGATGTTGAGGTGGCAACGCTCTTCTTGCTGGCTGAATCCTTGGTCAGGCTTGCCTCCTTCTTGGCGTGCAGGGCGGCAACGGAGGGCGGTTTCTTGTGCTGGCTGAGGCTGCACTCGGCCAGGCTGGCGGTCAAACCGGTCGCAACTGTCGCCACACTGCAGGCGCCAGCGCCCGCGGGCACGGCAGTGATTGCCTCCGCGCCCCTTGCATAATCGTTGTGGGCAGCCAGCGGTGGCGGCTGCTGCTGCTGCTGCATAGTCTGGACGTAGGCTTCGGCCAGACGTTGCTGCGGATTCTGCTGCAGCAGCGGCTGCTTTGGATGCATTTCATCCTCAGTCTTGTTTGATTTATCCAGCTGCTGGGCAGCACCAGGTCCGGCTCCTACCCCGACTCCGGCGGCGGCTGCCTCGTCCTTGCTGCTGGCATTGATATTTGGTGTTAGACACTTTATCACATGGGTCGAACTACTACTAGAGCTCTGCTTAGTAACGTTTTTAGTATTGTTGCCCTCGATGGGCGCGTACTCCACGGCTGGCGTGGGACTGACCGGCACATTTCGCTGATGCTGTTGGAAGTTGGGAGGCAAATGCGGCTGTGGCTGCGGCTGTGGTTGTTGTTGTTGTTGTTGTTGTTGTTGTTGCTGCTGCTGCGGCTGGGTCTGATTCGGATGGTGCTTGCTTTGGACAATCTCCTTGCGAGCCTTGCCCTTACCTCCGCCACCGCCACCGCCACCGGCACCGGCCCCTCCCCCACCAGTGCGGACAACGTCCGAGAGGCGGTTCTCGGACCAGTTGTTGGCAGCGGCAGAGACAGCGGAACTGTTGGCCAGATGAGGACTACTCTCGCCCTGCTGATGATTGCTTGAACGCTGATCCTCGGTGCTCTCCACGCTGCCGCTCAGCTGCTGCTGCTGATGAAGAGTTTGTTTCTGTGTTAGGGCAGGCGCAGAGGAGGACGAGTTGGAGTTGTGCACGGACGCACTATTGGCCTGAGGAGTGTGTGGCGTGCTTACCGATGCCGACGAGGCTGGCAGTGGTGGGAAGGCGGTTGCCTCTAGATCAAACTGCGGCGGTTGCACTGGCGCTGCCGGCTGCTGTTGTTGTTGTTGCTGTTGCTGCTGCTGTTGTTGCTGCTGCTGCTGCTGTTGTTGTTGTTGCTGATGCTGGTGTCCCTGATAGCCCAGGGAAACGTGATGCATGCCACGCTCATTGGTGGCATTGCCGTTTCCACCCGACACGCTGTTGTTCCCAGATCCAGCGACTGCGGCTGCAGCTCCACTGCTGACGCCCACTCCTCCGCTGTTCCCCACATTACTGCCAATGGAATTGTGGTGATGATGGTGGTGATAATGGTGACTCGAGCCCTGCTGCTGTCCCGCTGGCAGGTGGTGCTGCGAGGACAGGGCGTTGTGGTGATGGTGATGGGAGCTGTTCGACATGGACGAGTGCTGGGCGTGATAGTTAGGATTATAGTTGTTGCCCTTGTAGTTGCCCCGGTGCTGGGGCTGTGGTGGTGGTACATCGTGAATATTGTAATGGCTCTCCCGATCACCGCCGCGATGGGAGGGACCGCCGTTGCCCGACTGCACATTGCTGGCGGAAGACGAAGACGATGAAATCATCTGCTGTTGCTGCTGATGCGGCGCGGAGGGTGAGGTGCCAAAGAGCTATGATCGTTTCAAAGAAGCGTTAGGCTTAGAAATTGCCAAATAACATAACATATTTCGATTACTTACCCCCACTCGACCGCTTGGAGAATAATTGATAGTACCGCCCTCCTCATCGCGACGACGACGACGTGGACGCGTCTGCCATTGCAGCGGCTCCTTGCTGATTGATGTGGCCATCGACGAGGAGGAGCTGGCCGACATGTTGCTGCTGCGATTTACCTGTTGCATCCCATGCGAACCATGCTCCACGTTCTCTCCCGCCTCCTGCAGCTCAACTTGCTGCTGATGCTGCGGCGGCTGCTGCTGCTGCTGCGTCTGTTGCTGGGCGGCATGATGGGCCACCAGATGATGTTGGTGTTGGCTGGGCTGCGGGGCCAGCGTCAAGGTAGCCGTAGCCTGAGCACTGGCATAAGATACCTGAGGTGTGCTCGCGCCGCTAGAGGAAGCCAAATGATAGTGCTGCTGTTGTGATTGTCCCTGTCCCTGTTGTTGTTGCTGCTGTTGCTGCTGGGCCTGGAGATGGTGGCCATGTGTGGACAGACCCTGGGCCTGGGTGCTGTAGTGGTGGTGAGTGGCCACCGCACCGCCATAGCTTTTGTCCAGGTTCTTCTGCATTCCACCTGCCATTAGATTGGAGGGATAAGAAGAGGCTCAATGTTAAGGGGCTGCGAATAACTTACCCTTCCAATTATTACTCTTTATTGTATTATAGTGGCGATTGGAGTTGTTCACCTGCCCCGTTGCCTGCTGCTGCTGCTGCTGTTGGACTTGGACATGGGCGGAACTTGTCGGCTGCTGCTGTAGCTGCTGGTGAACCGGCTGTTGCTGGGCCTGCTGCAGCGAAGCCTGTTGTAGGGGATCCACAATATTGGCGGGCACCACGCTCACCATGCCGCCGGGAATGCCTCCCGCTAGCTGGATGGGCACAATGCTGCCGCTCTGGATATGGGATGGAGTCTGTGTGTTGCGCGGGGGTTTGTTTCGGGGCTCACCGCGTGGTCCCGAGTTGCCACCACCGCCCATATTGTTGGGATTGCCACGGTGATTATTGTTGTTGTAGCGGCCACCGCCACCACCCTGCGGTTTGGATGTGACAATCGTTTGTGCGGTGGGTGGAGGTGCGGCTGCGAAGCTGGCTACAGCCTGCGGAGCCAACGGATTGGTGGCATAGATGTTGCCACCAATCTCATAGAAGTTCTGGCCGTGGCCGGCAGCGGTCACAGTGCCGGGTGGCCATGGACCAGCCATCAAGCCGGGATAGAATTGATTCTGTTGAATCGGCTGCAATGAGAGAGAGAGAGCGGGAGAGAAAGAGAGAGAGAGAGGGAGGAACATGAGGGTGATACCAGTCTCAGATACATATCGAATAATGTTGAGCACTTACAATCACTACCTGATTATTGTAGGGAACTGAGGCGGGGCCAAGGACTGTCCCATTGGTGGTATACAAGTATCGCTGTGGGGCGGTCGTATAGCTGACAGCGGCAGCCCCAGCACCGGAAGGATCATAAACTGCGGCAGTCGGTGGCGATGTGAGACGGTAGCCGTTCTTAATATTTGGTACAGCTTGTATTCTATTGATAAACGATTTGGGCTTAATGCGCGCCATAATGGGCTTGCCCTGAAACTCCTTGATCTCCTCGCGCAGATACTTAAAGGCCTTTTGCGCATCCTCGTCCGACTCGAATGTGATGTACCACGAATTGTTGGCAGCAAACTCGCAGGAGATCGGCCTCGGGCAGTTCTCGTTGCTGAAAAGAGCCTGCAGCAGAAGGAGACCCAGAAGGAAATCAAATTAGCATTGATTACAGAAAATGAGGAGGAGCTGAGCTAATGGCAGACCTTGACGTCATCGAGGGGAGTGTTGTTGGATATCTCGCGCAATATGATGATGCAACGCTTGCGATTGGGACGCACGCGCAGACCCTCGTCATCCACCTGAACGTTGGGCGACTCACGCAGCACCTCCGTAATAAGTTTGATGTCCTTGCTTAGTTTCCTAACAAGATTAAATCTGGCCACAGTCCATATGGGCACATATTGGTCGCTGTCCATCTGCGACAGCAGGTAAGAATCGTTGGCCAGATTCTCTCTGTGAAAGCGACAGGGTAAAAGAAGAAGTCAGAGAGGGATCTTTGGAGTAACAATAAATAGGCAAGGGCGAACCTGGAAAAGTAGTACTCAAGCTGAGTAGCCAACATCTGCTTGAGCTTGTCTATCGGTAGATTCGGATCGTCTCCGGCTGCGGCATTGGGGTTGCTACCCTGCTGTGGCTGTTGCTGCTGCTGCAGCTCTGGGTTCTGGGTGGGCAGCGGTCCATTGGCAGGCACTGTGACCGGTAGCTGAACGGAAACTGGAACAGGAACCTGAACCGGCACTACAATGTGTTGGGGTTGCGGCTCGATTGCAACTAAATTCGTATTATTAACACCAGGTACCAGAGCATCGGTTGTGTAGCAGACGACGGTGCCATCTTGGGTCTGGCCAATTGCCCCATTCATGATGGCGAATTCTGGATTATCGATGCTCTCAGCAGCGGCACCGGCACCGGCAGCGCTTCCTCCTCCTCCTCCTACAATCACTGCGGAGTTAGCCACGCCCTGTGCCTGTGGCGGCGGAGGCGGATGTCCGTATTGCAAATGCTGTGCGGGATGAGCCTGAATGGTCTGAGGAGACTGTTGCTGCTGCTGCTGCTGGTGTTGTTGGTGGGCGTGTGTATGAGCAATAATCTGCTGCTGGTGTGGATGCGGTTGCTGCTGCTGTTGCTGCACCTGAACCTGAACCTGCTGTGGATGCTGATGTGAAAGCGGAGCGGTCTGTGGCGCTGCCACGGCTGCGACTGGAGCGGGGGCAGCAGCTGTTGGGGCGGCTGTGATCAATGGTATGTGGGCTGCTGCGTTTGGGGCTGCGATCTGTGCTGTGGTGCCGAACAAGTTGGTAGCTAACATTGCCGTTTCGACAGGAACATTGGCGTAGACCGGCGGTTGGATCTTGACTGCATCTCCATTCATTAAGACATATCCTCCTGAAATTGAACAAATTTAGTCATTTTTGTGTGCGTGGAAAAGAAGTTCTATAAAAAAAGACAATTCTTTGTAGTTACGACGTAATGGGAAACTTTCGTAATCGGACGACGCGAGTGACGCGACGAAAATGCTAAGAAAACTCTCCCACCCAAACCAGATTTTATATTATAAACAAATAAATTTGATGCCAGCATAACCAAAGATAGCGGAGCTGTGCTTCCCCTCCCAATGGTGCCTGTGCCTGTGGCTGTGGCTATGCCTGTGCCTGCCACCGTCGCAAAAAGCAAAACTTCTGCCTCACCTTAAGGCGTTGCGAGAGCAGCAACTTATGCGTGTTCTTCTTCAACCCACTGTACTTACTCTCTATTCGCTTCGCATACAAGTGCAGCAGCAGTTGTGGATGCAGGGTGGGGGTGATAGTATATATGGCAGGCATATGTGTTTGTTTTTGACATTTGAAAATAATATTACTACTAACCTAAGTAATATTCCATGGTAACGTATGTTGAATTTATCCGGAAATTCGACACAAAGACACAGTCGGTTTGCTTTAAAATATATTTATTTTTTCTTTTTTCGAGCGAACGGAACGCCTCAACACTAACTCGGAGCACTCACACACACACACAGTCACACGCGGCACACTCACACACACACAGACATATACACACGCACACAGTGGCAGTCGTGTTGCCACCCAGTCGAGGAGGCTTTTCGATTTGGAAAATTTGATTTTCACTTTGATATATTCTTATTGCATGAAACTTGATTACAATGCGATGCGAACAATCAAACGCAAAATAGCTGCAACACTTCTTTTCGCTGCTTCGCTATTTATTTATACTACTGCTGCTGCGGCTGCTCCTCCTCCCCTGTTCCTGTACATTTTCTTCAACTTCTACGCGACCGTTGTCGTCGTCGTCGTTTAATTTTCCGTGGCCTGGTGGCTTGAATGACTTAATTTTGTTTCTTTTTCTGTGGCTATTTTCGCTTTCCTTTCTATTCTTTTTCTTCCTCGCTGCTGACTTTTTTCGTCTTCGTTTTTTCGTAGTTTTTTTTTTGCACACGCAGAGAATTGAAATTGGTCGAGAGGCTTTGAGGCAATTGATTTTTTTTATTTCACACCCAACATGCACCGACACCGAGCCGACAGAGTAGCACAACAAATTTTATATTGCTTGCAAATGTTCTAAATAATAAGGTAATTGTTCTTTTTTGTTTTTTTTCACAACGAACTTGTCACGCGAAAAATCCAAAAATTCGACTTCTCATCGTCATAGAAAACTTTCGCCGTTCCACGGTCACCGTTTCGATAGGCTCCAAAAATCTGCATGGTTGCATGCGATAAATATTTATATGTAAATAGGGATCGGGGAATGATGGAATCGAAACCTAAGAACTTAATTTTGCTAAGTAAAAAAACTAACCATATAGTTAGTATATAGATATGTATATTCATGAAAGCGAAATGTCCCAACAGAATTGGCTGCGACAGCTCCCAGAAGTCTTGGCTCTGGGAATGGTCAGCATCGGTTAGCATGGTAAACAATAAACAATATATATAAATATTTTCTTTTGTTGTATTTAATCGCTGCTGGACCGAATTGAATGGTCGCAAGGAAACTATCCTGCAATGACCAGATAATCAATTTTATGTTTTAAGATGTTTTAACGTCAACTGACGGACACGAAATGTGTGCAATGTATGACATATAATAGGTATGAAATTTGTCTATACAGATTTGTGTGTGACACTCGCGCATCAAATTTGAAATTCATCATGTATGTGAGGCCAGTGTATGGTTAATGGCGAATTGTAGCCCATTCCCCCCTTCCCCTAAATAATACATAAATAATAATCTTGTGTACTTACACCGCTCAAAGTAGAATAGTTCTTGTTCCTTCCCTCCAGTTAATTATTTGCTGCGGCTACAATGTCAAAATTGTAAAACCACTTGTTATATGTTCTAGCTAGAGTCACAGTGGCGTTCCGCGGAGTACACGTACACTGAAATCCACGTTTTTCACAATATTTATTAAATTCGACACGAAAACTTGTGCATCTGATAGTGCAGATCAAATTGCTGCCTTGGGAGATCGTCAGCAAACGTTTTTTTCACTAGCAAAAGCAATAATACACGCAAATTATTCGCGCTCACAAAGCAGCCCAGTTGTGTTAGATGTATATATAAAATATTGATATATAAATTTATCGATATATTTTTGAAGGTAATATTTTTGTAGACTAGCAAAAAAATTTTAATGTTTTTATTTTTGTGGCACGTATAATCAACGGAACTACTTTTCTTATTTTGTAGCAAGATGACACTTTTTTTCTGTTGTTTTACGTCTTCAAATCATATACCCGCGACTTTTAATTACACTTATCGATGTATAGGAATGGTTGCAAAAAATATCGCTATTGCTCTGCGATAAGCGCCGCTTGTATTCGGAAAGGAAACAAATCTATCCGTCTTGCTTTCTGGCATGAAAGCACCATTGTTATTAAACTAAAAGACCTGCCCCTGAAATATAAAGCAATTTCAGATAATGTCCCATTTTACTATGCAACCTCCGTTGTTTATTTAAATTGAACATTTAATTTATTTATAACATCTTTCTCAATTAATGGTCTATTGCTTCTGTTTGCGTTAATGTTCTATCGAGATTGTTTTTAGATAATTTGAACGAAGAAGAACTTCTGCAAGTTGAATGTAGCTTAAGAATGAAATATTTGTTGTTCCTTGGCATCCGCTTAAAAGCCGTGCACCTTCAGCTGATCTGGTTTGGCTAATCCAACCTTAGTCAACCATTGACAGATGTTTTCACGTTGATCGCCCTGCAGCTGCAGAACTTCACCATACTCCGGATGCTCGATCACAGTTCCATTGCAGGCAAATTCCTGCGAATGCGAAATTAAATCAATTACTTACATGGCCCTCTCAGGAATGTTTATTTACAAACGGGGCACTTACCTTTTTACAGGAGCGGACTATTTTCTTCAAGTCATACTCCGCGGACAGGCCCTGGACAGTGGTTAGAGTCTTGCGACCGTTCCTCTGCTGGATTCTTATATGCACAAGCCCGTCTTGAATATCATCATCATTGCCCTTGATTGCATCAGCAAAGGGGTCTGCAAAAAACAAAAAACACCATATGCCCTTAGCATCTCATTGGAATTTCTGTAATTGTAATCACACCCTCTCGCAGCGTGCTGTTGTGCCCTTAAAATCGCCTGCGTGCATTTACGTATGTATGCGTGTTTGCGTGTGAGGCCGATGACTAGACCACGAGCAGCCATTTTTATGTACATGTGTAAATGAGCGCTGCGACTGGAAACTGTGTGGGCTGGCTGTGTGCTGGGAGTGTCTGCTTACCTCGAGTGTTTAAATTCTGGATGGACATACGACAATAAAAATAAACCACAGCCTAAACAAAAACTTTTTGAAGTGTTCTCTTAATGTAAAATTTAAGATTTTACTGAGTGATTTTTCGGAAATGTGTTTGTAGGGATGTTATTGATATAGAGTGTGACCGCGCATTTATCGTTAAAATATACCGTCCGACCCTCAGAAATATACCAAAATATATCGTCTCATTTTATAAATATACCGTAACTATACTGACGAATTCAAGTTCTATTATACATATTCCTCGATTATGATATTCCGTCATTCATTCCCAGCTATATAGAGCTATTTAGCCATGCCCACATAATTTTATACGATTGATGAATCAATTTTCTACTTGATTGGCTTAATTTAAATAATTGCCTTTATTTCGATAATCCGTTGAAAATGAAATTTAACAGATTAATGATATTGACAAAATATACCATTATACACCGATATACCGTAAATATACCGTCGGTTCAATTTTGACCTAAAAAAAATACCGAAAAGTATTAAAAATATCAGAAACGGGCACCCTGGTTTGTAGGGATGTTATTGATATACAGTGTGACCGCGGATTTATCGTTAAAATATACCATCCGACTCTAAGAAATATACCGAAATATACCTCTCATTTTAAAAATATACCTTAAATATACTGACGAATTCATGGGATGTTATCGATATATAAATACATCGATAATTGTTTTTGTGACAATATATATTTTCTACACAGAGTTGCGCCGGTGAGTTGGTCTCGCACTACATATCCACAGTATATTTACATAAATTTAAATTATAGGGCCACTTGTCACTTTATTAACGAATGTGAAAACGTTTTAAAATATTTTCAAAAATATTCGACACTTATCGAATGTTTTTGTTTTGCGGCTGCCAACTTGTCCAACTATCGTTGTGCAGAATAGGTGCCCAAAATGCAACCCTGCTGGCTTAATCGCAGCCAACTTTGCTCTGTGTCGCGGCTGCCATATTTCTTTCCTGCTTGTCTTTCAACGAGAAAAGGTGGGCATTTTGCGTTTTGTCTTGATTTGGTTAAGTTATAGCTTCTATAGCATTGTGAATAGCATGTAGCTGTGAAATATTTTTTTTGTGACATGGGTGTACCACGTGTTTTACTCCAAATGGCAGCTATCTCGAAATATTTCGGAGGTAAATTTGGTATTACCCACACGTGTGTAGCGCGCTGATTTTTTTTACCCGAAATGTGTACAGAGTTGCTGACTTCATCATGGCTGTCGGGGAACCCATGCCGGGAGTACTTTTTTGTTTCCCATTAAAATAACTATACGTTTATAAAGTGTTTTCTGTCTTTATTCAAGTCTAACATCGAATTTCTTTCTCTTTCACGCTGGGTGGGTCCGGACGCTATGATGTTGATACATACACAAGGTGAGAGCACATGTTATAGTCGCAAGGGAGTCTCAATTCCATGATGAATGATTTAGCAGAAGAGTTCTTGAAGACTATATTCATCACCCAATCCTGAAGTTATTCATTTAAAGTTCCCCCTACTTTTGATCAATTGCACAGATTTTAAACTTCTTTTCTCTTTTCTTTCATGATCGCGTGTTCTGGTTTGATGTCTGGTCGCATTCCTAATAAAGGTAAGCATTTTCCTCCAGTTGGGTGCCTTGCGTATCCCTTTCGTGATGAATGATTTAACAGAAGAGTTCTTGAAGACTATATTCATCACCCAATTCTGAAATGATTCGTTCATTGTACCTATGTTTTAGCCATGGCATAGATTTAATAATGTATTTTTCTTCTCTTTCATAATGTTTCCGTTTGGATTTATGTCTGGTCTCATTCTCAATAAAGGTAAGCATAGTTCCTTGATTTGAGTGCTGTAGTAATCATACCATGATGAATGATTTAGCAGAAGAGTTCTTGAAGACTATATTCATCACCCAATCCTGATCACTCAATAAACATGAAAGCTATAGAAACTTTTGAAAACTCTTCTAATCGAAATATCTTTCATTCTACTTGCAGACTTGAGATGGCAACCTCTTCGCACCTCAATTGGTTGATCATTCGCAACAACAACGCCTTCTTGTTGAAGAAGCGCGATGTTAACAAACCCTTCAGCACAGTAAGTGGTGTCCCCCCCGCTCAATAGTATCCGATTTGTTCTATGATGTTTCCAACTTACAAACTTTCACAATGATATTTGAATACAACTTGATAGTAACCTTAATCTGATAAAGTTGGCTTCACCATTGAATGCTTCCGTGTATATGACATGTATTAATGGTTTATTGTACTTTTCCAGGAGCCAAACAACTTGGCCTCTGTGAGCTCGTACCGCTACAGCGGCATCGTGCACAAGAAGACCCTTGGCGTCGTTCCTACTGCCGATAAGAAGGGCTTCACCGCCGTGCTGAAGAAGGGCAAATATGCTCAGCGTCCCGCGAAGAACACGGTGCGTGTCGACTTCAAGGCTGGTCCCCGACGCTCCCTGAAAAAGCTGAAGAACCTGTTGATCGGCTCCAAGTACCGCAAGGATCTGACGCAGGTAATTTCTGAAATAATTTTGCAATCCCACTGAACTATCCCTGATATGATGATCCTTATTTTAATGCTACATACCAAGATCGCAGAATGATCGTGTTGAAAAAATTGTCTGAAGCTCTTTTAGCACCTTATTTGTAGATAATTTTATGGTTCGATTTTAAATTCGGGTTTCTATACTTCCCAATTTCAGGCTGCTCTTCGCCGCGCCTCCGCCGTTCTGCGTTCCCAGAAGCCCCTTCCCACCAAGGGAAAGAAGGCCGAACTTACCAAGGGAAAGAAGCCCGAATAAAGTGTACCATATGGGATCATGCGGAGCTGTTTTCTACTCGAGAATAAAGAAAAGATGTTTAAAACTTAATTGTAATTTGCTTATTAATATTGTCGTTTTGCAAGGCGGCTTCGTCGTACGCCTCTAGTGTTCCCATTGAGCAGATTTTAAGATCAATTTGTGGTGGAAGTGGATGTGTGTAACACCCAGAAGGAAGTGTTCCGACCTCCTTGATTAGCATAGACATGTCTGTCTGTCCGTCTTGTTTGACGCTTAGTTCTCAGAGGCAGTAGGAACTGGAGCAACCAAATTTTGTATACAGGCTCCAGTGAGCTCCAGGCTCACACAGCTACAAGTGTATTCTGTATAGAATGAATCTGCCGAATCTAGATCAGATCGGATCATTATAGCCAGAAGGAACCAATGTATGTAGCGTAGCCACGCGCTTATTCTCTGTCTCTCTCACCCTCGCTGTTTCTCCCTCTCTCTCACACACTACTCGGTTAGTGTGGGTGATCTGGCGAAAAAGAGCGAGAGAGCAAGCTCGTGTTGATGTGAGAATAGAAAAAAAAGAGACAGACGTAAAGAAAAATGGAAATAGGGCAAACCTAATACATATGTATGTATAAATTTCGCGAACGGTTCGACCGAGTTTGGTGAATTTTGTTGGTAAAAAATCAATTGTCGTGTTTTGTGAACATATATGTACATATACTGACTGAGTACCGGGTATAAAGTAGAGCCGCGGCTCATAATGATTCCGCTCTATTTAGCCTTTCGAATTGAAAAGCCCCAAGTAATTGAAGTAATTTTTCGAATAATTATTTGTAACAGCGCGAAAATGGCTGTTAAAATGAAACGAGACCATTTTATTGCATTGAAATAGTACAGAATGTTTACAGATCAGATTGAGGCAGATTCGTCAATAAATTAAGATTAAATCAAAGACAATACCAATATTTATATACGACAATATAAAATGTTTTTAAATGCTTATTGAGCCGTTATACTTAATTACCGCCACATATGCGGACTTTAATAGAAATATTCATATTTCTGGGCATGATGCAACATGACCTCCATGGACTTTTTTCCCTGCAGCACGCCATTCCGCTCCATATAGTTCCATATGGAAGCCATGAAAACGCAGAACATGATGACTCCGAAGACTATAAACTTGAGCAGCAAGAAAATGGTACGCATTCCCCCCGGGGCCGTGAACTCGACCAGCAGAACGAGTAGGACAAAGAGGAAGGTGGCTGCGCTGTAGTAGAGTATCCGATCGGTGTTCAATTGCAGCAGGGAAGCATCACAAAGGGCCAGGGCTTCTTGGAGAGCAGCGGTTCTGGCCGCAGGCAGAGGCTGGATGGAAGAGCAGCTTATATCTGGACCCCTTACGGAACTGCCATTACAATTGGCACGAGAATCGTCAGCCGTTGGGAGAGCTGCTTCCGCAGGCCCATCTCCTCCTCCTTGCTCACGGGATGGACATGTTTCTTCAACCACTTCGCAGTTTACGTCAATCGTGGCCACTCCTGCTCCGTCGCCGGCTGCTCCAGGATCTGTCGGTGTTCGAGATAGTTTCAACTTTGCCAATACAGCTTCGTGATCCGAGAAGCTAAACTTTTGACCAGGCACACGGTCTGGAAAGGGTAGAGTATAGTCGACAATCTCCGCGTTTATATTGTCCCCTCCACGGACAAATATGTGGTCTATGCGAATTCCACGTGGATTCCTGGACAGTGCCCTCGCCGAAGTGTACGAATTGTGGTCGCATTCATTTGTGCGAAAGGTGTCCGAGGCGCAGCTGTCCAACATTTTAGAGGTGTACAACAGCACTTTATACGATATGTCTTGTGGTTGGGCATTCAAATCTCCGGCCAAAATCTGAAGCACCGAGTTTCCTCGGGTCGCCTCGATAAACTGAGCGGTATCAAAGGCTTGGATAACCCGGTGAGTCTTGTATTCATCATTGTCATTGTCATACTCGGCATGCAGATGCGCGTTATAGAGGTGCACCATCTGGTCGCCAATTAAGATGCGGCACAGACCGACACCCTTGCCGCCGAACCAATCCGCGTGCTGAATGCGATGGAAGTAGCCATTCACGGACCAGGCGTGAAACAGAGTGCCCAGGATGGGATATTTGGAAAGCACCAAGAGCCCTGCGCCCATTACGCCACTGTGGAAGTAATGGGAATAGGGCAGAACACTGGACGTCTTCTCCTGCAATTGCTCGCTGTCCTGCTGAGCCCACACTTCCTGAAGAGACACGATATCATACTTTCCGCTACTCAGTTCTTTGCAAATGGCCTCGAGACGCGGCCCTCTATTACTTGACACATATGGTATGCCCCTGTAATTGTTATTTAGAGATTTAATTAGATTTGAGCCAGTGCTTCACCTGTCACGTCCATAAAGAGTAGCACTCACCAAATGTTCAGGGTTAAAATGTTCAGCTCCAGCAGCAGCATCTTGTTTAGTCTTATATGGCCGCGCTCTCCGTTGGCATGCTTACGAATAACTCATTCACAGGTGTAGACCTGTGACGATATTGACGATAAGATTAAATGTTTTTTTGTATTGTTGACGATGGATGTTGTTGTGTTTGTTGAATGAATAAGTTATCCTTAACCCACTTAAGCCTCCTTTAAAAAATACCTATGCAGGGTAACAACTTGAGTTAGGCCGCGAAAAATAATACTCTTTGAAGATCCACTTGTAGATTCCTATTTCCTTTCGAAAAAAAATACCAATTGATATCGACCATGACGATATCTTTCATCTGAACCACTAAGCATCTGTATAGAGATGCGTATGGTTTGTGCCTGGACTGGGTTGTAATACTTCAAGCTTTATAATTTTTGTCGGACCCCGCAATGGGTTAATTGTGCATGTTTATACATGTTCGAAAATGACAGTCTACGATTTTGATGTGCGGCTTAGCTGGCTAGGACTCTCAGCCCTGAACGTATAATTTAATCTGATAAAAAGTACAATTTCCTAAAAGATTTGCAACTTTTAAGTACTCCCTTTTATTGGGATTGTGTATAAAATAAGGTGTAATTAAAAAAGGTCAACAATAATGGACACTAAATTAATTTTGTTACACTGTAACTACACGGTAAGTACACATTTTGCTACATATCAACTACATATTGATGTAATTATCAACAGAGACACCTGCAAAGAAAATGTGTATGAATTTAAATTTAAATTTGAATTTCTCCGTGGGCGATTTAACGATTTGCATTTTTTCTTTGGTTATTTTCTCGACTATTTATGGGCCGATCTGGACGTGTCATATCTTTTCGTGTTTAGGAGAATCAATCATTGGCACCCGAAGAAAGGATATCCCACACAACATATTGTATTATGTATTTTATTATTCGTATTATTTATTTGTCATGTGTTATAAGCATTTGCAGTTACAGTTGATTAGCCGAACGAGCGGTAAACCTTCTCAAATATGGCAGATTACAATACTCTCGTGTATCCTCTCGTTTTCTTTCAATATCTCTCTTATAACATACAAACTAGCAAGCAACTTGCAGCAGGTACGTTGAGGGGCCTTGTTAATAACCGTTTAGAACTAGTACATAGTCTTAAAATTAGTTAAGATATAAGTTGTTTATATGTTTCTATTAATATGTGCCTACACGAGGAAGTTTTCAAGGCAGATTCGGTTTGTTATTTCCGAATTCGTCATGGCGCAAGCACTTCCTAATTAAATAATGTAACTGCCAAAAAAAAAAGAAGTTCTGATTCGATATTTGACATTAGTTTGCTCCTTCCCTCAGTAGCGCTGGCTCTCACGATCTGAGTACTTGCCGCTCAGCTTGCTAACCGAGTACCTATCCGAATAGGCATCGTATTTGTCCGCCTTGTAGTTGATCTCCTGGGGTGTGTAGCCGATGTTCTTCTGCCAGTGACGGGTCCAGTACAGATCCTCGTTACGCACCTGCGACGGGGTCCTGGCATCGCGGCACACATACACACAGTAGATCATGCAGCCTATCAGCGTGAGGAAGCCGAATATCAGGAACACAATGCCCAGTATCCACACATACAGCGGCTCGTAGAACTGCACCACGATGACGAAGCCCAGAGTGACCAGGATCAGGCCCAAGTTCAGCAGCAGCATCAGACAGCAGACGCCCTTAACATTCGGGCAGAATGGGTTCGGAGCGGACATGGTCTCGATCTTGGCGCCCCTTTTGGTGGTAGACCGAGCGCTCCGTCCCGTCTTGGCAGTGCTGGCCACCGAATAGACACTACGCGGGGGTCCTCGCGAAACTGGACGCTGGCTATATCGGCTGTAAGTGATATAAGTTAGAAACGTTTGAAGAGCGTTGGAGGGCATTTAAGAGCTCACCTGATCTCCGATGGCGCCTTGTAAGCAGCACTGGTCACATAGATATCGCTGCCCCCATCCCCGCCATGATCATAGCTAAGGGCTGAAGGTGCTCGGGGCGGCTGGCGCGTGGGCGGTGGTCCGCTGAGAGAGCGTGGTCCTCCATTATCCGGGGAGCTGGAGAGGCCCATCTGACTGTGGCTGTAGCTGTGCTGCAGGTGCTGGTGATGTCCGTTCGCGGAGCGCTTCTTTCGCGACGAGTTGTACTGGGACTGTGGCGAGATGCGCTCGTGAGTGAGTGTGTACTCGGAGTAGGTGCGCTCGGAGGGAGCGCGATGAGAGTGCGACTCCTCGCCGTCTGTGGAGTAGCCGCGATTCGAGTGGACGTACGGAGGGTCAGGTGTGAGGCGGCCGTGAGTGGCCACATAATGGCTGCCCTTCAATCTGTAATTGGATTGCAAATGTTATCTCAAATTGGTGGCTAAGTGGACGGGGATCCACGCTGGGACCCATCCTCGCAACTTACTTCTTCACTTGTCTCTCGTGCATTTTTCTCTGATGGTTCCACTACCTTCTTTCTGTTCTGGATGCTGGGGTGCTCTCCTCTCCTGGGGCGCTGCGTTTTATCGACTGCTAATGGTCTTGACTAGCAATTCTCGGAGCTGCCTGGAAAGAAGCAAACAGAAAACAGAGAACAGACACGTGGCAATTAGCATTTGTCAGGCTACCAATGAAATTGTTTAACAGTTTTCAACTTTTAATTAAAAGTTTAATTTTTCGTTTTCATATGGCTGCAATGTACAGTGAACCAGCAGTACGTACTGTGTGAGCAACAGACCATTTGGTGTAACCTGGGGAAAGTTTGTGCGTTTCCAGTGAGTTTTTAGTGCATCAAAGTTCTTCCATTTAATATAAACTATTGCTCTCCAGTACGGAATGTGTTTATGATACGTTCTGTCCCGAAAGCGGGTGGGGTGGGTCCTCAGTTATCCCAGAGACAAAGGACGGCAAACAAATTAGCATTTCGATAAGCCTGAAGTCCCGTCCCCACTATAACTGCAGAGCAATGCCCCCCTTCCCCCTTCCCCCTTCAGGAATGTGGTCCCATCCCTGCCTTGCATAATTTATATCAATTTATGATGTTACTGTTGCGGCGCACCCATCCCAATGATTGGCGCTGCAGTTCGTTGCACTTTTCTCAGTCCCGTTAAGCTTTCAAAAGCCACTCAAAAAGTGGCAGAAATATGTTCGTTCTTTCAAGTTCAGGGCATGGAAATTGAAGTTGCCCCTGCTCCTCAGTGTCGCCTCGCTGCTCGTTGCTCGTTGCTCGTCCTTCGCCTGCAATTTGTCACTTGGTCACGTAGCTCTTGGTTTTGGGTGCGACATTCTGTTGCAAGGTGACAGGTGATATGCGGGAGACGCGCGCAGCGGCAGCGGCAGAGGCACTGTGTTCTGTGGGTTGGGTTGGGTTGGGGGGGAAAACTGGTTCTTTTGCTCCCTTGAATTCCTGATTGCATGCACACTCACAGTAAGTATTTACATACATATGTACATACGTGTGCATTGTGGCTATAGTCATAGCCACTACATACAATATATCAATCAACGTGTAATTATAATTCTGCAAAAAAATAGTTCCTATCTCGACGAACTTCCACAAAACTCTTGGCGGAATGCCATCTGGAGTCTTCCTTGCTACTCTGGCTGTTTCTGGCTGATGATAAAATTGAGTTATTGCCTCGATTAGGCCAATTAAAGGGTGTCGTTATCTATCGCATCGTTGTGGGCCTGGCACTGCCCTTCCCATCGCCCTCTCCATGGCCCTCTCCATAGTCTCCCCGACTAGCCTTCTTATTATGTATTCCAACTGAGGCCAATTTCTGAGTGCATTTACATTTGTGGCTAGCCGGCGGTCAATCGCGATACAATTGTCAGTTGGGATCTGGATCTGTGGATCTGGGGAGGTCTACAGTAAAACTTTCAAGTTCAATGCGGTGATTTTAGTGCCTGGGGAGTACAGAAACACACAAACACACACACACACACATTTATGGTGTGGGCGGTAACGTCATCAAATGAAAAATCGAACTGGAGGCCGAGATGGAGGCCAAGAATGAGAGACAGGCGACCCTTTCCTGCCTGTGTCTGTGTGGTCCCAGTGGTTGCCTTCGCCTTCGCCTTCGCCTCCATCTCCACCTCCATCTTCGTCCAACCATCGTTTGGGGGTTTCTATCACTTGGCGGCCATCAAAGCCTTTCCGTTTGCAACTCCCATGCGTCGGATTTTTACATGCTTCGCTCTACTCCGCTCTACTCCGCTCTACTCCGCTCCGCTCCACTTCGCTACGGTCGGACAGCGGCTCCATGCCACACCACTGCTCCGCACATTGATTTGTTTATGCGGTTTTTGGGGTTTGTTTTGTTAGGCTTGCCTTAAAGCCTTTTCCTTTTGCGGCAAATGGAATGCGAATGCCATTAAAATGTGTTTGCTCTCGTATTTACCTTGGCGCAGCAGCACCACCAGCCCCAGCACCACCAGAACCAGCAAGACCTTAACATTTAACGCCACATAAACAGCATTATAAACCAAGAAAGCATCCAGAACCAAACGAAGGGTAAAGTGGATCATTTTAGGGCTACTTCATATACTAAAATGCCTATACGTACATATATGCCACATCACACATAGTCGTATAAATCTTGTATATGGGCTCATCAATATGGTGGGGGGGCCGTGCCTCGTAAAGCAGTTTTTCTCGTCCAGGTTACATGAAATTTGCATTTTGTCGCTGGACCGTTAAAAAGTGTGGCGCCCCCCGTTCATTGTCTTTGATGGAGGATTTCACAACTTTCGCTGCTTCCGCTGATGCAGCCCCAACAATGGGCCAAGAGCGGAAGTCGTTGCCAACGAAACGAGAAGTTAATTTGTGGCAATTCGTGTTACACAAAGTGAGAAAACAAGACACCGCGATCGGCCGCAGCAATGCACTCCATCATTGTGGTCAAGTGTCATAAAAGTTGGACGACTTGAACTTGCCATTGAGGCCGTTGTTGTGGTCTTGGTCAGCGGCATGGCATGTAAATTTCATTGCCATGCACCAGGCACCAGGCAACGGGCACCAGGCACCGCGCACCACCATGAAATTTTTCGGGGCGCGGTTTAGAAAGTTTTCCCCAGATGCACATCTACAAAATATACGAGTACGAGTACGAGTACAAGTATGCATGCGTCCCACCAAACTGGGGCAAGAACTGCAGGCCACCACCACTGCAGCCTGTGCCTGGGACACAATCTGTAGCACTCAACCGCAAAAGCAGCGCCTTTCACAAGCGAACCGACGGACCGATGGGTGGGGGCTCTCAGACGGACCGAAATTGCAAGTTGTAGGCTCTCGATCCGTGCAATCCCAATAAATATCGCCACAGTGGCCGGCAGTGGCCCCCAGAAGTCGCTAGAATAAATAATAACAGACTATGTATTGTCATTTGCATTCTCCGAACCGTATGCCGGGAGTCTTGAGATATGCATTGTACAATTACCATTCAAATGGATTCCTTTGTGCTCCCCTAATATTCATAAATCAGCCATTGTTTGGGCTGTAGAAAACCTTCCACTAGGATTATCGTACCCGTAGCCAGCCCAGCCTATTGATCTTTTCGCTTTTTATTGCTTTCAGGGCTTCCAGGGCATTTCCATTATGATTTTCGTTTCTAATTAGCAGATGTTATGGCCAAAGAAATTTATACGAGCATTTACTTTAAACTGTTATGGGTACAGGAAAATCTAAGGCACACGGAATTCCGTGGCCCTGCATTAATTGCTATCGGCTGTTATCTCATCTCTGGCTTGATTTAATGACTTCTGCTGCATGTTTTCGAAAATCAGCATAAAATTTGATTGCATTGTTAAAACCCAAAGCGCTTAATGTCGATTCGGCTCTGGTTGCTGCTCTCAAGCGGCGAGGCGACCATTAAACTGGGGGCCCAGTGGCAGCCGCAGCCTCAGTTTCAGTCTCAGCCTCAACAACCGCTAATTCTGCGCTGCGTCGCGCTGCTTTGCGCTGCTTTGCTCTGCTTTGCGCTGCTTTGCTCTGCACTGCTATGTGCGAGGCTGCGTGGTTTGGCCGGGTCCCCGATCTTAGACGTTAAGTAGCCGTAGCTGCCGCGCGTTAATCGCTTTTAATTGCTAAATTACGCGCTGCATGGGCAACATTGTCCAGAGTGGACAGAACCAGTGCCGGGTCTGAGGCCTGGAGATGGAGTCATGGATTGGATGCGACTGTTAACACGCCGCAGACTGTGGACTGCGACTGGGCAACACTAATGCGTGTAATTAGCCGCAAAAAAAGCGGCAAGACCACTTAACTGATTTATTAAAACGTTTTTCCATTAAATTTTTAACCCTGCAGGCTATTAAAAACACTAACTCTTCCACGCACACACACACACACACAGAGAGAGAGAGAGACACACCGCAGACGTAAAGAGGCCGCAAAGAGGAGTCCACGTCGACGTCTGGGTCGGGGTCTGGCTCTGGGTCTGGGTATGGGGCCTCCGAATGGAGGCATTCCGAAAAGGGCGCGCAGACTTGAAAAATGAGCAGCGTTTAAAATTATTCTGTTCTCGCATCGCAACTGTGGGGCAAATCCAGAACAATACAGGCCCATAAATCTATGGACGTACGAGTTCTGTACTTGTACTAGTTTAAGGAGTCATAAAAGAGAAAGGAAAGGATTGCCTAAAATAAAGGTTTGGCCACTGTGCCGCTTGTGGCACTTACAAGCTCTCAAGCTGCCTTTCCTCATGTTAATCTATGGCTTTCCAGGCCAAATCCCACTCCCACTCCGAGTCCCCGGCCCAGCTCCACCAACACCAACACCAACACCAACAAGAAGTTGGCCGAAAAATTCAAATGGGCGGTCAGTTGGCAAAACATTTTGACAACGTCAATGGCCATGCAGAAACCCATCCGAAAACCTAAGACCCAAAACTTTCTAGCCATAAATGCCCGCTCACGTCGCAGTGGTCGAAGGAGCAGCGGAAACAGCAGCGGCAGCAAGGGAATGAAATTAATTATGGCCAAGTGCGGGGCTCACATCGGTCGATGAAAGTGCGATAAAGATGCCATATTTCTTTTATTAAATTTTCAGCCATTTATTGCTAGACTGTTTGATGTTCGCCCCGGACAAGTAAGCCGTTAAAATCAATGGCCCAGTCGAAAAGAATCGGACACAAAGAAGGTCACATTTGTGTGGCCAAACAATAAACAATATACATACGTATATTAAATCTCACCACTCTTTCGGAGAAAGTTCACTTAACGGCCTAAGCTGGGGCGCCCGTACGTAATGCTTTCAATTTTTTTTTTTCCCTCCCCCTTTTTCATTTTATTTTTCGCAAACTCACTTTAAACAACAACAACAAATTGTGCACAACAATTTGGTGTTTTTTTTCTTTTTGTTTTGTTGACCGTGTCGTGTCCCCTGGCCCCCCTCCGGTTCTGTCTACCCGTACAATTGTGGCAACTTGCAAATGAAGTCTGCTCCGCCAACTGCTGTTATCCAGAGATCCACGGGACGGCAGCGCAATCGCCAAAGCCAAAGCCAAAGCCAAAGCCATCAAAGCGATGAGATACATGAGTGAGGTGTGTTGGGAAGGTCCCTTTTT